ATAGTGAAATGTGTAAAGCAAGTCTGCAATTATAATAAATGATATTGCATTTTCTTATTTGACATGCTACATTGTAAACATTTTAAAGGTGTGATGTAATCAGCAGTTAAGTTAATAACTTTTTGTAATATAATAAAATAACATTTTGAAAAAAAATTCTAAAAGATAATAAAAAAACTTTTTACATGTGTGTTAAGTGTGCGCGTGTATAGATAGATAAATACATAGATGACAGACAGTAAAAGTGACGGATGGACGGACAGACAGACAGACAGACAGATAGATATGATAACAAAGGGTTAAAAATATTAACATTTATTGGACACAATGTTTAAAATGCATACAATTCAACAAAAGCTTTATGAAATAATAACCAAACCTGTACACATATGATCACAATGTTGAAAAATTCAAAACAAATGATACACAGAAAATTAGAGGTAACATCTTCAGGTACTGACTGAGGACCTGGTTTGCTCAAGTCAATGACTCAGTGACCCTTCATGGCCTTATCCGATCACGTATCCATTACTGACCTCCTACAAGCCAGAGAAGCTTTTACACTCAGGGCTGAAGTACTCCAGTTTAGAAGTGGGTGGCAAAGTGCATCACATGTGTACACTTCAACACAAGTATACCAGATATGATTTAACTATGTAATGCACAGTGCGGTTACCCGCACAACAAAACAACAGTCCTGATTGGTACAGTGAGTTACAGAGGACGACTGCAAAACTATCTAAAGATTTTGTAATACTGAATCATTAGGCCACAAGAGAGTGGCCTCCTACAGTTTAATTCATGACTTCTAGACACATCATTAATATTTTTCAAACAGCACTACACGTCTCGACCGCTGAGTGACATTTATTTATTCTCCTGTCTCACTGCTAATCCTGGCTGATATTCAAACCTGGCAATCAAAGTTTAAGTTGTGTGTTCACTATCTTGGCTAAAAATGTCTATCCCAGGTCCTGATGCAATGTGCAGGTAACCCAGTTACAGGTAGTGTGGACTGTGTAAACTGCCAGACCAAAGTATGCATGATATTACGGTGCATAATAACAGTACTTCACAAAATGAAACACAAACAACTGCATTTATTATTTCTAAAAAGCAAAAGGAATGTCAAAAATGCCTAGAGACAATTTTTACTGCATTGCACTGTGAGTTTATGCACATGTTTGTGTCAATAGTGGGCTATAAGCAAAAAAATCTAATAAAAATTAGAACTTTGAAATCACTCCAAGAATTCAAAGTTTATTGTTTTGTGTTGGAAGATGCTTTTTGCAATGCCTCATTAAATTATTCGCTGTTATTGTTGCCGCATGGGAAATTACAAATCGGAATAGGCACATATGTTTCAGTAATTTGACAATTAGGAATAGCTCCTAATTAAGAATTACTAAAAGGACAGAGCAGATGTGTCCATTATTACAATTATAACCTTGACTTTCATCAATAAATATGCGGAAGAAATAAACATTCTTCATTATGGTTTCAATTAAATGTTCTCAATGAGCTGAAGGAACACTTTCCCACAAGAGGTCACAGAATGAGAGGATAACACTGTTTTTGTTTCGTCTGCATCACTTAGAAAATGTCTGCTAACATTATAAATAATGTAAAAAAAAAATAATGTAAGAACTTTATTATTTAGCATTTTCCTTACCAGAGTGCTCAAGTTGTGCTTATTAAATCAATACTGTTTCACCTACATGGTTTGCATCTGCACTGTAAAAAATTAACCTATTCAGTATTGTCTTGTTTTCCAATAAAATGTTTTTATAAACATCTTTAAAGCAAGATAAATTAGTAAAGATAAGATATACTATTATTCAGAAGTTTGGGGTCGGTCATATTTTTATGTTTTTCAAATAATTCTCTTTTGCTCACCAAGGCTACATTTATTGGATCAAAATATTGTGAAATATTATTAGAATTTATTAAAACCATTTCTTTTTGCATACATTTTAAAATGTCATTTATTCATGAGATGGCAAAGTTCTCAAGTGTCTTTTCTTCAGTGTCACGCGAACCTTCAGAAATCAGTCTAATATGATGATTTGTGTTTAAATAGCATTGCTTTTTATTATCAGTGCTGGAAACAGTTGTGCTGCTTAATATTTTTGTGGAAACAGTGATTTCTTCCATTAATAAAAAGGTCAAAAAACAGCATTTTTCAGGGGAAAAGATACAAATTATATGGAGCTTATAATATGACAAAACTATTTGAATTTGTATTGTATAAATTTGAATTATTGACAAGTGGCATTTATCAAAACTGAATATTATGTGTCATTTAACCTAGTTCTGAATTAGATTTTTTTATAGCAGTTTTATAGACATGTATTTTCAAACAGTGAATTTTTTGTTCTGAATTCTTTGACTGCAAATATCCAGTTTTTAAAAATACAGCTTCAAGTTTTCAAGATGAAGAGGAAATTCGGAACATCAAATTCAATATTCTAAAATTCAATACGCAGAAATTCAGATCGTACAGAAAGTAGGACAGAGGTAATCCACAGGGAAGAGCAGATGATCTCCGAAAAAGTAAAATGAAGCATTTTGGTCAATTAGTAGTTTTCTGGCGTTCAGATCAGGTTGATCTACCTGATCATGAATCGCCCAGAGGTATCCTAAGTGATTCTTAAACATTTATGGTTTATATTTAGGCCTATATGTTAGCTAAGCGTTCTCAGCATGTGAAACATTTATCTAAGCGGTCTCTGGTGTTTGTTTTAAAGTATATTTGGTGTGAAAGTGATTTGCATGCCACTGTGTTTACTACACAGGACAGGAGCGAAAGAAAAAAAGCATAATATTCAGTTTTGATAAATGCCACTTGTCAATAATTAAAATGTATACAATACAAATTCAAATAGTTTTGTCATATTATAAGCTCCATAAAATTAAATGTCTTTATGGTCACTTTTGATAAATGTTATACATCCTTGCTGAATAAAACTATTAATTTCTTAAAAAGAGATTTTGCTGATCTCAAACTTTTGAACAGTAGTGTAAATATATTCTTTCAGAGAATATTTAAAAAATATATATTTTCATAAAACCCACTAAATTTTCTTCAGAACGGCAAAATATGTAATTTTAAGTCAAACAAGTCTTAAAATCTTAAGCAATTCTGATGTTTAGATATTTTTTTACTGGAAAACAAGACAAAAACACAGACAGAAAGTGTTTTTTACTGTGCAATGCCTCATTAAATTATTCGCTGTTATTGTTGCCGCATGGGAAATTACAAATCGGAATAGGCACATATGTTTCAGTAATTTGACAATTAGGAATAGCTCCTAATTAAGAATTACTAAAAGGACAGAGCAGATGTGTCCATTATTACAATTATAACCTTGACTTTCATCAATAAATATGCGGAAGAAATAAACATTCTTCATTATGGTTTCAATTAAATGTTCTCAATGAGCTGAAGGAACACTTTCCCACAAGAGGTCACAGAATGAGAGGATAACACTGTTTTTGTTTCGTCTGCATCACTTAGAAAATGTCTGCTAACATTATAAATAATGTAAAAAAAAAATAATGTAAGAACTTTATTATTTAGCATTTTCCTTACCAGAGTGCTCAAGTTGTGCTTATTAAATCAATACTGTTTCACCTACATGGTTTGCATCTGCACTGTAAAAAATTAACCTATTCAGTATTGTCTTGTTTTCCAATAAAATGTTTTTATAAACATCTTTAAAGCAAGATAAATTAGTAAAGATAAGATATACTATTATTCAGAAGTTTGGGGTCGGTCATATTTTTATGTTTTTCAAATAATTCTCTTTTGCTCACCAAGGCTACATTTATTGGATCAAAATATTGTGAAATATTATTAGAATTTATTAAAACCATTTCTTTTTGCATACATTTTAAAATGTCATTTATTCATGAGATGGCAAAGTTCTCAAGTGTCTTTTCTTCAGTGTCACGCGAACCTTCAGAAATCAGTCTAATATGATGATTTGTGTTTAAATAGCATTGCTTTTTATTATCAGTGCTGGAAACAGTTGTGCTGCTTAATATTTTTGTGGAAACAGTGATTTCTTCCATTAATAAAAAGGTCAAAAAACAGCATTTTTCAGGGGAAAAGATACAAATTATATGGAGCTTATAATATGACAAAACTATTTGAATTTGTATTGTATACATTTTAATTATTGACAAGTGGCATTTATCAAAACTGAATATTATGTGTCATTTAACCTAGTTCTGAATTAGATTTTTTTATAGCAGTTTTATAGACATGTATTTTCAAACAGTGAATTTTTTGTTCTGAATTCTTTGACTGCAAATATCCAGTTTTTAAAAATACAGCTTCAAGTTTTCAAGATGAAGAGGAAATTCGGAACATCAAATTCAATATTCTAAAATTCAATACGCAGAAATTCAGATCGTACAGAAAGTAGGACAGAGGTAATCCACAGGGAAGAGCAGATGATCTCCGAAAAAGTAAAATGAAGCATTTTGGTCAATTAGTAGTTTTCTGGCGTTCAGATCAGGTTGATCTACCTGATCATGAATCGCCCAGAGGTATCCTAAGTGATTCTTAAACATTTATGGTTTATATTTAGGCCTATATGTTAGCTAAGCGTTCTCAGCATGTGAAACATTTATCTAAGCGGTCTCTGGTGTTTGTTTTAAAGTATATTTGGTGTGAAAGTGATTTGCATGCCACTGTGTTTACTACACAGGACAGGAGTGAAAGAAAAAAAGCATAATATTCAGTTTTGATAAATGCCACTTGTCAATAATTAAAATGTATACAATACAAATTCAAATAGTTTTGTCATATTATAAGCTCCATAAAATTAAATGTCTTTATGGTCACTTTTGATAAATGTTATACATCCTTGCTGAATAAAACTATTAATTTCTTAAAAAGAGATTTTGCTGATCTCAAACTTTTGAACAGTAGTGTAAATATATTCTTTCAGAGAATATTTAAAAAATATATATTTTCATAAAACCCACTAAATTTTCTTCAGAACGGCAAAATATGTAATTTTAAGTCAAACAAGTCTTAAAATCTTAAGCAATTCTGATGTTTAGATATTTTTTTACTGGAAAACAAGACAAAAACACAGACAGAAAGTGTTTTTTACTGTATAAATGAAAGACTTGTGATGACAAAACATAAATAAGAACAATGAAACCGAAAGGCTTCGAACAGGAAGTGTATCCATAGAAGACAAAACTGAGTTTGCAGTTCTGTCTGATCTGCAGCCATCTTGAATCGTGTATCAGTGACAAACAACAATCCTGAGAATGCTTAGCTTTCCCCAAAACCTTAAAGCTAAATTATCCATTACATTCTACATCCTCACAATCCTCGTCTGTCCAAAGCTAGAGTTGAAGGTTAAAATAAGAGTTACCACCTTGCCTTAATTTACAACTGACAAAAACCTTCAAAACACTAAGTCATTACTGTACAAATACAATAACCAACACTGTACAATGTCTCAAGTTCTACTGCAATACAATCGTTTCTTCTTCAATCAAACATTTCCAAGCGCAGAACAAAGCACTGCCAAGAAACATGGGGCGAGAAACCAGAAAATGGAGGATGAAGCTATTTTTAAAGCACCAGCATCTATTGCGGACACCTTTTTACATGGGATTGAGAACATGGTGCATGAAATGACTTGGAAATTGTATGCTAAAATGTTTAAGCTCCTCCATTTTGTTATCATATGGAAATGCAATCTGAAGGTACCAAGCACTCGGTAACCATCAGACCTCTACGCTAAACGGGGTCCAACACAAACACAGGCTCAACAGTCCACCGAGGGCAGCTCCATCAACACCAGGATGATTTAGGAATAAAGTCTCCCTCATAAAATGCTCAACACATATCCTTTCCTCCTTCCAAAAAAGACGCTCACGTTTGTGATGAAACGCACGTAATGAGGCAAAATACTTTAAATATGCAAAGAAAAGCCACATCAAATGAAGCAGCTCCACATCAACGTGTTGAAAAAGACGACCGAAAGTTGCTGCCAGTGTGAAGGAAGGACAACATCTGCCCTCTTCGTGACATCGTCCAGTCTCTGTCTGTGAAGCAACAATTGCTTTTCATTCCTTAAATGCCTCTCGTTTCTCTGTTGCTGCACATCGGATGTCAGAACTTGTCAAAAGTGACAAGCGTGGGCTCTCCGAACTCTAGGATCTCCACGGTGGAATTGACATATTCCGAAGACGCTGCCGAGGGCTTGACGGGAGCAGGCCGGAGTGGCATTCGGGGTCAAGGAGTGGCCCTTCTATGTAGCGTTTAAATGTGTGCGTATGTGCGAAAGAGAGATCAGTGCTTCATTGCTTTCTAAAGGCGAGTCTGAAGGTTTCTAAACTACTTCCACATACACAAGTTTGCAAGGACATCTCGCTGAAGGCTTCCTCACCCTCGCAGCGCAGTTCACATTAAACATCTTATTGAAGAAAATCATACTAGTATCGCTCGCAAAACAGTTGAAAGATTCACAAGACACAATCGGTGTTTCTTCTCAAGGTCTTTCTTCTGTACAATGAGGAGTGAAGCGTGATGTTCACAGTGCTGTGATGTCACATGGTGTTGATTCTTGTCCTTACTTCACTTGGATGGATAGATATCCAAGTTCACAATCTCGGACATCCGCAGCGATCTACTGCCTTTCTGGATGCTGATCACAAAGGGGAAGGTACCGGCCCGTTCTCCTGTAGGGCTGATGAACTTCAGTGCTGGTAGAGAGATAAAACAGAGTCATTTTGCAGCAAGACGCTTCCATGTGGCAAGAACGCTCCCAATCTCCTCAACAGGGGAAGCGGAACAGGTTTGAGGGCGTTGAGGTGAGGAGCTATACCTGAACCTGAGTCCCATGGTGTGCCTGAAGACACTGGATACTAGACAAGATCTTTTTCTGATGGCCTGCCAGTGCTACACCCATCTTATCCAGTTCACTGTGAGAGAAACGAAAGAGATAGAAGAAACTACCTTAGCAAAAGGTGGCTATGTTCACAATAGCACAATAGCATACTACTCATATTATTTTTACAGTATTCGGTATGTTAACTATATACAGTATGCAGCTTGTCTACATGCATGGGAGCAGAATGCACATATTGTCTCGAACAATTCAGTGCACTCCAGTTTTTTTGACTCAATATATGATTAAGCTGCCAAGTTACAGCATTTTTACACATTAGTAATGACTTTCAAGCAATAACTTCCAAGTATTGCATACTGTTTTACATACTTTTACAAAATAGTAGGCAGTGCATAATATGCTGTAAACAGCATTCAATTTTGCAACATAGCTGGTATATTTGGAATGCTATACTACTACTCATACAAATTTTTACAGTATGTGTTATGCTAATTGTATACAGTATGCAGGTTTTCTGTATGCATGGAAGCACAGCACACATTGAATCCCATAATGCAATGCAGTCAACTTCCACTTACAGTGTGATTAATAGTAACTAAAGCTATTGTTTTACTTTAATACTTGAATAAAGTGCCAAAAGTAATAACATTTCTACACAAAACTGAATTGATAACTCGTAATGAGGTCATGTGACAATAAAGCATACTACTGTTGCATACTAATGCCTGTGGAATATTGTAGTCGCATAATGCAATGAGAAATACAAATGAAACCTTTTTGTGGACTTATATTGATTGCAAAATAATCTTTACACACATTTAGATGAAAATGCAAAACAATCATGTTTATTTTCGATAGGATAACTGGATGCCGTTTGCTGCCAAGTAATGAGGTCATGTCATAATAATATAGTTTACACCATTTACCTCTGTATATTATATATGGCTTTGCATACTTTTTAAAAAACAGTATGCAGTAAACACCATCTTCAAGTATTCAGTTTCCAACATGGTATGGTATGTTCGGAATGCCATACTATTTTTTTTGCAGCTTTATACAGTGCATAGTTTGTAAAATCTCAATTTGATTCTTAGTATGCAGTAAGATAACATACTAGTGAGAACACAGTCAAGTGTCTCTTGAAATGCAACCAAACATTTCATACTAACATAAATTAGTGTGGCTTTTATTTACCTAGCGCTGACATACAGAACTGAGTCCAGGGTGACATAGCCGGTGCTGGAGAAGTGTTCCTTGTACTGACCCATTTTAATCAAGTCCAGCCAGTCTTCCACTGTGCTGACCCCTGCTTCAGGAGTCACTGGGTCCTCCCTATGGTTGGAGGAGGAAGTGCAGTCAGAAAAACAGTCTTATATAACCACGTCATGTCACATCCTGTACGTCAGAATTGACTTAAAGAATGCATTCTGCACTGGTCTGTGAGGATGTCAGATGTATGTATCCATTTGAGATTGTGTTTTTAGTAAAATCCCAATTAGATTTATGCTGATTTCTCAGCCAGTACTTTTTACATACTGTAAGTTTCAATGATATGAGCATTTACAGAGTTTCGTAAGGGTAAGAAACTAGCTTTTTTTCATGCATTCGAGTGTGTGTGTGTGTGTGTGTGTGTGTGTATGTGTCAGCTTATCATTGTCTGGATATGTTGGTCTTCAAATGCATTCACAGGCAGGGAAGGGCACACACCTACACTGAGTAGATGTTTAGCCATCCATCAGTCTGTATAGCTGTTATGACAGTCCTGTGTGACCTCATTTCTAGACTACAGGTCAGCAAGAATATATCTCGCAGTGTCTGATTTTTTTTAATATATATTATATTCATATTTCTTTTAAACAAAGAGCTGAACCAGTTTAACATATAACAACAAAACTGTTGTATAGTAAATCTAGTTAAAATAAGACTGAAGAGCAAACATCCAGAGCAGAAGCATGATCTCTCACCCGTGTAGTGTATGCCGCCTCTGGATCGTCCTCTAACACACGCGACAGCCCGAAGTCAGACACTTTACACACCAGGTTTCCGTTCACCAGAATGTTCCGTGCCGCCAAATCCCGGTGCACATAGTTCATCTCTGAGAGGTACTGCATCCCCGCAGCTATTCCACGCATCATTCCCACCAGCTGGATCACCGTGAACTGCCCGTCATGTTTCTGCACAAAATGAAGAGTTCTCATGTCAAATTCTCATCCCTGTGGCCTTATTTCCTACCTTGTTCAACCTCTTTGGATTCTGGCACAGTCGGTCATGTTTGAATGTGTCTCATGAGTAATTCATAATTCATTGGCTCCCTAATTAATAGTGTTGCTCACATGTTACAGGGCACAAGCTATTAACTGCAATCACTGTATAATCATTCATTTTATGCAAGCAATGGCAAGTAAATAACCAACTAACCAGATTATGATGTTTAATTACACCCTCTGGCCAGAAAACGTAAACGTTTTGATTGTTAACTACGGTTGCATGGTAATATTGGAGTAATAATGGGATAGTGGTTTGTTAGTGCAGGGGTTATACATATACATACACACACACACATTATATTAGTGCTGTCAAATCGATTAATCACAATTAATTGCATCCAAAATAAAAGTTTGTGTTTGCATAATGTGTGTACTGTGTATATAAATGAACACACATAAATGTATATATTTAAGAAATATTTACATGTACATATATATTTTCATATTTGTATTATTTATATTATACATTAATATATATTACATATATTTTTGAATGTTTTAATGTAATAAATTAATATAATGCTTTAAGGTATGTATCAAACTTGAAATGCTTTTTGAAGATGGGTTGGAATTCATGGGATTATTTATGATATTTTATTTACCACTCTTTCGATTTTTCTCACATAGTATGAATAGTATCTATAAATTCACTTTGAAACACTATTTCACTATTTTGCATTTAATTAAACATATTTCTTTTTGAGTTCACACATCTAATATTAGTCTTATAGTGAGTAGAAGACACTGCCAATGAAATATAAAGTAAATATTTTCAGGATAATATTTCAATAATCTCCTTTGACTTAAGTATAATGATTATGTAAAAAAAAAATTTTAAATACTGTCTTTATAATACAACTCTTACTATCTTTCTAGTGTTTTGCTAGTGTCTTCATAAAGCTTCTAAACTAGCTTGACCAGCAAGTCAACCAGCGTTATCAGAAAGACCATGCTGGTTGATTATCTCCACCAGATAAGATTTGCTTGAGAACATAATGATCCAAACCAGCATAAACCATGGTAGTCTAAGCTGAGAAACAAAACACAAGCTGAGGAACACAAAGAAAAACCAGGCATAGAGAGGTGTGAACACGCGAGTTGTCGAGCCTAATCTGGAAGAGCCGGACGACTGCTTTGTGTTCCTGTGATATTTTACAGCATTTCCTTTAGTGCAAATTGGCCTCCATCATTCCCAACAAAATAGAGCACGCTCACCTTCAAAAAAGTGTCCAGAGATCCATTTTCCATGTACTCTGTCACTATCATCACAGGCTTACCTAAGGGACAGTGAGAGAGAGGAGACAAATTGGGAAGTGTGAAATATTGTCGAAAATAGAGAGAGAGAGAGAGAGAGAGAGAGAGAGAGAGAGAGAGCAGAAGCGAGAAAAAGACGTTTAATTTTTTTCAGAGGCGAATAAGAAAAGACACAGCAGAGAAGCAGGAAGAGGCTGGCGCTTTTGTGTCCTATATTTAATTCATTTCCAAGTTGACAGAGAAAAACATGCAGATAAAGAGAGCGGACACCTCCCCCACTCCCAGCGACTTCACAGTCCCTCGTTCCTGCTTTGGTTGGCCTCTACCTGCTGCCTGTTACTCATAGTGACAGCCCCTAATCAAAGCTCTCAATAACAGTCAGGCAGATAATTAGAGCGAGCGGTCCACTGAGAATATCTTTGTCCAGAAATACCTAAAATGGTAATGAGTTCCTTTAGGAGGGAGGATGATGAAGGGGGGGGGACAAGTGAGGGGGGAGGTTTTTAGGGGGTGTGGTGATTAATTGCCCTGGGGGTGGTGAAGATGAAGGGGTGTAAAGATCTGCTAATGGGAAAAGTGTTCACCTCTTCGCTATGTTGCAGACACAGCTGCGAGAGGCTCATATGGGGAGATCGCACCTGCGTTGCTGAAAGTGATTAAAATTCTCCCTTGATTCCACCCAAATAACACGCTGTCAGTCAGAGAGACCCCCCTTCTCACCTCGCATGTGACAGGGAAGAGTACATGCTAATCCATCCTGATTATCAGAGATGCTTGATGGATGTAACGTATGGCAGAAACTTTCACCTCGGGGCACCAGACGCACGTCAGCATGAGATGCCGTTTAGCCTTAGAGACACTCTCTGTTTTTGTGAGTAGCCCTTTATGTTGTGCCTAGCCTTACAGGTTTAAACGTCTGAATGCTACAAGGTGATCCTTGAGGTATCTCCATTGTGACAGAGGAAACAACGTAACCGCATTTTGCTCCACGGGGACTGTTAATGTAAATTATTAGTGACATTTTTATTTATTTATTTATTTATGTATTTTTCCATTTTTTAAATAAAATAAAATAAAATAAAATAAAGGCTTGTCCAGATTTTTCAGAGAACACAAACAAACAAACAAAATGATAATAATTTGATTAGTGAGGTCAAACAGTGATGTTTTGTTATTATTATTATTATATTGTTCCAGTAAATTAATTTTTTATTTGTATTAAATATTATTTTTAGTTTAAAATCATAGGAATTAAATTAAATGAAAATAAATAAATACAAAATAATAGAAAATAGACTGGTCCAGTTAATATGCATTTAAAACATAAAAATATATATTTTTTGTTATTTATTTTATATATTCTAATAAATATTTTGATACTTTAATTGTTACATTGTGCTTTAGCTGTTAAATAGCTTGCATGGTAAAACCTTGAAAATGTTGCATCAGTAAAGCACCACTTCTACCACCATATAAACGCAGGCGGACATCACTAGCCTCTGCATTGTGACTTTTGCACAACTCTTTTGCAATACAAGAAGTAAAAGAAAATGTGATCAGAAGACCTTGAGGACAAAGGTAACGAGACATCTGCCCTGTCAATTTCAAAACACAATTTAAGCCTGCAGACTTTCGAGTGAGGCTACAAGCGAAGAGTCAATGGTTTCATTATGTTTTTGTATTCTCTACTTCAGCAAAGCACAAAGAAATAGAAACCCAGTTGAATCCAATAAAACCCCATTCAGCCCTAACAAGCTATTTATAGCACCAAGCCCTAAGACATTGCCAGTTGTGGTTTCAGATGAATGGGGCTTGCACTGTATGTCCTAGCTGTCACTGTAAGTAAATCACAAATATATCAGTCACACCCTTTAGAATCGAAGCCACACGACAAGCGTGGCAAAGAATATCCAAAAGGATCGCGCATTAGCTTATCAACGTGGGACGAATTACTTTGACACTGAGCTAGCCAGAAAACATGGACTCCTTGCCTCAACCTACAAACCTCTGGCCACCAGAACTGAAATATAGAGCGCATTCAAACATAAAGTGCAACATCTTCCTGACATTGCCGTTGTTTGCATTATCAGATCAAACCGATGTGTATTTCCGTACTCTAGCTGTTTAGCTAGAGTATGGCTGATGGTTCTACTGATAGGTACGTTAATGAAATTACCAAATTACTTATCCATGCATGCACATTTAAAGGGGTCATATGATGCGATTTCAATTTTTCCTTTCTCTTTGAAGTGATACAAGCTCTTGGTGCATAAAGAAGATCTGTAAAGTTGCAAAGACTAAACTCTCAAATCCAAAGAGATATTCTTTATAAAACTTAAGAGTCAACCACGCCTACCTAAAATGGCTCGTTCTAACACGCCCCCACATATCTACGTCACGATGTGGGAAGATTTGCATAACGCCACCCAAATGTTCACGGAAAGAAAGAAGGCGTAACTTTTATTTTATTCTGTAGTATTGTTGCTGCTGCCATGTCGTGAAGGTGCTGTGTGTTTCGTTGTGAAAGCGAAACTACTTTGTTTGGCCTTCCAAAAGAGGACGATATCCGCTTCGTCATGCCTGGAGCTGATCCGTGCTGGTCACTGAGGAAATACATCAACTTCGCGCTGTGGATCGCTGGATCGGCTTTTACCGTGGATGAAGCGGAGTCCAGACCAGGGTCTTCACATGTGGTTGCCGCAAGCCCGCCGGCCACTCTTTCGTCGAATCTGCCCGCCGTGTGTGACGCTGTGTGTTTCATTGTGAAAACGAAATTACTTTGTTTGGCCTTCCAAAAGAGGACAC